TCTGCCCACAGAAGCTCAAGGTGCAGCCCCCCAGCTCCCTGGAGCACTGCTGGAAGTGAGCCGGCCTCCACAGGCACCTGGGATGCAGGGGCAGAGCCCTCCACTGCCACCACCCTCGAGGCCCTGGGTTCGCGGACAGCCGGGCCTCGCCACCCTCCACCCGGCTGCCCCGCAGGCACGAGCCCTGGCTTGTCTTCGGCCCACCCTAAATGCCATGGCAGCCTCTCAGCGCGTCCGCTGGTAGTTGATGCAGCCTGGTGGGCGGCTGGACAGGCCCCTGCTGCCCAAACCGGAATGTGGCCACCCAAATCCCGCTCTAGCCCGGGAGGGACAACCCAGGGGCCCCAGCCAGTCTGCCACCCCCAAGGACAGTGGGATGGCCGGTCGTGTCCACGCTTCACACAATTACTGCTTGGTGTCTTCCCAAAGCAAGTGCCTGGCGTGCGCTCCAGGCCTCCAGAGCCGGTGCGCTGCCCCTGCACGTGCACGCGTCTGCACACCCCTGCAAACCTGCCCCGTCCCAGACAAGCCCCGGCCACTGGCTTTGCTGCTGTCTGTCCCCTGCTCTAGCCTGGGACCTGGCTCCTTCATCCCTCTTCCCTCCAACTTTCTCTGCTCCCCAAGTGCCGGGTACTCCCCAGAAACCTCGCGGCAGGTCTCCACTTCTCCATTCTGGGTGTTTCAGGAAGGCAGAGAAGAAAACACATCCGTGAACTCGCTGTTCCTTGGATGTTTAATGAAGAGAGACAAAACTGCGGAGGAGCTCAGGGCTGGAGTGTGGGCTCCCACGCCCTCCTTCCTCGTGCTGCCGCTTCCGGCTGAGCTGCGCCAGCGGCTTCTGCCCACCCCGCCCCCCAGCTCGCGGTGTTGGGCCCCGACTGGCGGCTCTGCGAGCGGCCAGAGCCCCGGACGCCTGCTCGTCCAGCGGGCTGCCCTTCCTTCTCCATCTACTCAACCAGAGTTTTCTGGGATTGACGGGGACCCAGCAGCGCCCTGAGCGTCCTGGGGCTCCCAGGGGCAGTCGGAGGAGACCAGGGGCTGGGTGCCCAGCAGAGGGGCCGCTTCACCATATCCCGTGCACCTGGTTGGCACTCTGCCTGCTCCGTTCCCCGCGCACCTGCTGCACTGCCCCTGCAGACCCCAAAGTCCACAGTAAAGTGTATTTTTTTTATTGGTTCTGATTCCTGAGGACTTTGTGGGGGGTGGCTGAGCCCCTGTACTCCAGTCGGGGACCCAGGGGGGCACAAAAGCACCCAGGTGGGCATGAGGCACAGGGCTGCCCCTCCCCCTGGCCTCAGTGTCCTTTTCAAGCGGACGAGCCCGGCGGTCATACCAGGCTTTAATCCTAACAAGCGACGTGTGCCCCGGCAGTGCCCCGCCTGCTCCCCACTCCAGTCTTGAAAACACGCGGCACAGCCCTCACCTGCTGCAGCCTGCCTGCCCCCAGGACAGGAGTTCTCACCGCTCTCAGCCATGATCTTCCCCCTGGGGAGATTCCAGGGGTGTGGGGACTGGAGCTGAGCTTGAGGGGCTGGGCCAAGGGGGGGGGGAGGGGCTTCCTGGGCAAAGGCCTGGAGGCGGGACTGAGGGTGATGGATGGGTACGGGGAGAAGGACCTGACAGGATGATGCTGGGTGATCCTGGGCCCAGTGGGCTCCATGGAGGGGGAAGACACTGGCCCTCACCCCAGATGCCAGAGTCCACTCAGAAAGGGGGCAAGACCAGCCCAACTTTGGGGCAATAGACACTTGGGTGGGTCGGATGTCTCCTCCTCCAGGAAGCCTCCCCTTCTTTCCAGCCATGAGGGCCCTCCCTCCCCTGACCTCAGGGACACAGCCTCTCATACCCTCCCCACCGTGCTGGCCCAGCGTCCACAGTCCTTTCTTCCTAAGGCAGAGAGACCTTTGGCTGCCTCACGTCCCTCCCTTACAGCTGGGTGCCGTGGGTCCCATCTCCAGCAGTGAGGTGCCCGCCAGCTCTGAGTCTCACCACCGCAGGGGGCGAAGCTCTTCACAGCAACATTTGAAACCCACAAACCTTCCTCTTCCAGACATTTTCTCACCCCTCAGCTGCACCTGCACTTTGTTTTCCCAAGCACCCAGAAGTCTTCCTCCAGAATCCCAGCTGGGACTCCTTCCCCTCTGCACTTTCCCTCCACCAGAAGGGCCCCCTCTGCTCAAGGCAGGACGTTCTTCTTGGACCCCCTCTTTAGTGGCCCAAGGGAGGGGTGAGCCTTAGGTCCCCTCAGGGCGCTGGGAGCAGCCGGGGAAGGCGGTGACAGGGAGGTCGCCCACTGTTTGTGGGCCCAGAGCTTGGGGAAGCCCTCGCAGCTCTGGGGCCCGTGGTAAGGCTGGCAGGCTAGCCATTGGCCTTCCCTCCGGCCCTGCAGACTTGCCTGGCCCCCAGAGGGTGGGCGTCCGTCCCGCAGCCCAGAGCTGTCTGGGGAAGGACAAAGAACCCATTCTCTGCAGCGGTGGGCACCTCCGTGCGGCCTGCACAGCCAGAGCCCTCGCTGCTCCTCGGCCCGGCCCTGCTAAATGGCTACAAATTGGAAGATAAAAGTGCAGCCTTTCAAGAAATTTTGCCTTCAATCTCTGCAAACTGCCGCTTCCCGAGCTACTGCGCAGGGATGGAGGAGGAGAGAAAGACACGGAGTCTATTGGGCCCATGTCCAGCAGCAAACAAACACACCAAGGGGGTCTTTCTCCTTGGATCCGACCGCTGGGAGCAGAGACAAGCTGAGCCCCAAGGCAGGAGCAGCCACCTCTGCAGGCGCCACCCATGTCAGCAGCTGCTGTTTATTGAGCACCTACTGTGTGCCGGGCTCTCTGCTGGACAACGGGCTGGCGCATCAGCAGGGCCATTCCCGCGGGGGCTGAGGACTGTGGGGGGACCAGGAGGTGGGTGGCCTGGCTCGTCAGCAGGGGGGACAGGGAGCCTGTCTGTGGAGGTGACGTTTCACTCATTCATTCCACAAACTTCCACTGAGCCCAGTGGTGGGAGCCCCGAGAGGTGGCAGAGGCCGAGCCTGAGGCTGAAGGAAGGGCCCGCAGGTGAGGGGGGGCAGAGGGGCAGTGATGTTTCAGGGCCTGGAGGCTAAGGTAAGGAGCGTGGCCTTGCTTCTGAGGACAATAAGGCATCCAGAGAGTGAGCCTTAGGCCCTAGGATGGAGCACAGTCTGGGTGGCCCGCCTGTGTCAGCACAGTCCTAGCAGTGGGTGCAGAGACTGGCAGGGGCATGAGGCTGGGAGGCAGTGGCACTGAGGAACTGGGCAATGGCCCGACACAGGGTTCTGCCCTGGGTGCCCGTGGATGACCTGGCTCCTCCCATCGGGGCCAGCTGTCAGCCCTCGGGGGCCAGCACATCTACAGGGCTCCTTGGTCTGGCACCGGCTACGTATGTCCGGCTGCCCCTCCCGCCCCGGTGCGCTCCCGCCCCGGTGCTTGCTCTGGGGCACCCCCCGAGAACAGCTTCTGTGCACACGCTGGGTGAGGGTCCTTGCCAGCCTGGGGTGAAGACCCTACATTCTCAGGAGCCCAGCAGGCAGTCCCCATCCTTCTACAAAAGGACAAATTATTCAACGCTCTTTTTTGGGGCATCAGGGCCATGAAAACGGAGGCCTGGGGTCAGCCGGCAGGGCTTCTGGAGGCCCGAGATCTGGGGAACCACACGCTGTCTGGCCTCTGCCTCCCCACCCCCCATCCTGACACTCGTGGCTGGACTCGGGGCTGCAAAGAACATTTCCACCAACATTTACTGCAGCCCTGCATCCTCGTGGCCACCCCACGGGGGGCTGCTCAACTATCCATTCTGCAGACTCCCCAGAGCCAGGACCCTGAAGGCTGGGCGACTCGCCCCATATCCCGCACTCAGCAGTTGGTGGGGGCCAGGACCCCATCCTCACTCTTCCCTGGGTTCTCCCCAGGCACCGCAGGGGATGGTGGTGTGTGAGCGGGTCCCTGCCACGCTGCACCTTCCTGGGGGCCCAACTGCATCCCTGGGATGGCGAGCACACCGGGGAGACCTGCCTGATGGCGCATCTGGGGAGGGATGCTGGCTCCGGCAGGTCAGGGCTGGGGGTCCTGGAGCATGCAGGGCCTGAGGCTGGGGGTCCCTGGTGCTGCCCAGGAAGGATGGCCATGGCGCCTGGCACAGGGACTGTGCTTAGACTACAATTATAATGAACAGACTTACTATGTTCTGGGCACCATTCCGAGCCCTCTTCTTATGTAAACTCATCTAGTTCCCAAACAGAGTAGGTACTATTATTCCCATTTTACAGATGAGGAAACAAAGGCACAGAAAGGTTAAATGACCTGCTCAAGGTCACACAGCTAATGACTTTCCTTCCATGACCATTTTCCCAAGGCCCTCGGCTCTCAGGGCCACCTTCTCTTTCCTCTCCTGAGCCCGACCCCCAGGCACCCGGAGCAGGCTCAGGGGACACACACATGCTCCTGAGTGTGCCCAAGGCCTCTTGCTGCACCCATTCTTCTGGTGACAGCAGCCCGTTTCTCCTTTGGGAACCATTCCCCGTTTACTTCAGTGGCTCCAGGATGGGCATGGATCCCAGGCATGGCTGGTCAGAATCACCGGGAAAGGTTGGGGTGGTGCACGTCTCCAGTGAGGCCAGAGAGCAGCAGTCCTGGGACCTTGTCTGGTGCCCTGGGAGGCCTGTGCTCCCCTTCAGCTGGGGCTGCCGGCCTGGCGGCCTCCGACATTATCCTCACAGAGGCCACCCCGTGGAGGGGGCACACCTGGTACAGCCGAGGCGGAGGAAAGCCACCCGAGAGCTGGACGGAGACGGCTTCCACGTGCTGTTGTCTGAGCGCCTGGATCCAGCCTGGCCTGAAGCTAGAACCTGGACCTTCAGTTTCATGAGTCACCAAATGCCCCTTCCTTCCTAAAGCCGGCAATGAAATGACGTTTTGTAATGTGATGGCCCAAGCTGGCATCCCTCTGTCTTGGGGTAGGGGAGGGGAACAGAACACTTCTGCCCATGGGAGGTCTGTGACTTTAATAAAAAATAGGAAAGTGAGTCAATTATTTAGTAATGATTGTTGGCAGGAAAATAATGAATTTTGGTATATTAGGAGTAACATACTGGCTCTAAGGGTGAAAGGTCAGGAGGCCAAGCCATTTCTCTGTGACATCCTTCCTGTCCACAGGGGGACCTCGGCCAGGCGAGCGCCTTGGCCTTAGATTCCCTGTCCATTAAGGAGAGCGTCCCAGACAGCACGCGGCATCCTGCTCCAGGGTGGCAGGCGCTGTGTCCAGAGGAGGCACCTTGCTCTGGAGTTTGTCAGACACAAATCTCAGAAGGGCGCAAAAATATCCTTCAAAAGAGAAAGAAGAAAGGGGAGAAGGGAGAGAGGAGAGGAGGGTTTTGGATGTAAGGGGGGAGGGGGTGGTAGCGCTGTGGGAACTGCGCTAAAAATGCATCCGTGACACTCCGAAGTCACCAGTTTCCAAATTCAAACATGACAAATTTGATGATCTTTAAATGCTTCCACTTTAAATGCTGGACGATCTTTAAAGAGTCCAGCAAAGCCTGGTTCTGAGCAGAGGTGTAGGAGTCGGGGCAGCTCAGTGGACGGGGAACAGCCTGCCTTCTGCCCTCCTTCCTGGGCCCCAGCTTAGCAGGACCACATTCCTGAGAAGCCAGGAGGGGGCAGGGGGTAGACCATTCCTCACCAGCCCCTCCCGGGTGCCCCTCAGGGCCTGGGGCTTCCTTTGACAGCCCAGGCTCGGCTCTGTCCCAGCCCCTCCAATCCATTAACTCATACTGAAGTGTGCGGGACTGACTCCTCCAGGGACAGGGGGAGATGTGCACTGTAACAGAGGATGATCTCGATCTTTAAATCAAAGAAGGCAAATTCTAATGCAGGTATTTCAGACCGTAAGACACACCAAGTGGGTGAAGGGCTGGGGGTGGATGGTGTCTGCACTTTCTTGAGCTCCTGCTACCTGCTGGGCCCTGAGCCAGACGCTGACTTCACCAAGGATTCCAGATCCGTGCAGCTGGGACGTCAGGGTCCCTTGCTTGGAGATCCTGCACGGAACCCCCGTGGTGGGCCAGCAGCTCTGCGGGCCACACGGATATTTCATGGGACCAGTGCCGGGTGCTTCAAGTTGCCCCCTTTAATCATCCATGGACCCCAGACGTTCCTCCGTGGTTCCTGTGAGCCAGCTGGCACCCCCTTGTCACGGGGAAGGCAGACAGGCGGACAGGTACCCACCATCTTAGGCAGGGGTGGCTGCTGCTGGGTCCACCCCAAGGACAGCGGGGGCAGCTGGCCTCTGCCCCCCAAGGCCCCCTCCAGGGATGGGAGAAAGGCAGGGCCCCTCGCAGAGGTACAGCCTCGCCCAAGTTGGCCCAGCCCCCCAGCCCTCCCTGCAGGCCCAGCATCAATGAGGGCTGATTCCACGACCTCCCCCGCACCTCACCCCTTCACTTCCGCCATCAGGTAAAACACAGGAGCTCAGTGCAATCTGGATTTCAGAGTCACAACAAATAATCTGTTAGCTAAGTACTGCATTCTTTGTTGTGAATCTGAAATTCAATCCTAACAGAGCCGGTGACCCTCCCCGTGTTCACAGACACTGCAGGGGCCGGGCTGGGCTCTAGGGATCCATCCAGGTCTCTGGAAGCCAGGGGAAGGGACCAGGGCTGGGCTGGTGGGAGGGTGGGCGGGTGGCTGCCTGTGGCCTGGAGTCCTGGGCCTGGCCAGGGGCGGCGTGCTGGCATCCTGGGGGCACGGCCCTCTCAACCCTGAGGCTTGCTCTGTCCTTACCTGTGGCTCCCACAAGACCCCACACAGGGCAGGGGCTGCGTACCCTGGGTGGGGCTGAAGTGAGCAGGCTTGACCCCCAGGCCAGGCCGCGGGTCTTAAGCTACTCTGCTGGGCCTTAGTGTCCCCGCTGTACAGACGATGAAAACCAGGCAGCTGGGGTGGGGTGACAAGCGTGGGCGTCCCGGCGACACTCCCAGTGCTGAGCGTAACAGGTTCAGTGGGCTGGGCTGGGCAACCTGCCCACCCCAAGGCCACAGCAGAAACTGGAAGGATTTCCTGGCTCTGGGAAAATATCAACCCACGGGTGCCCACTGATTCCTTGCAAGGAAAGATATTTTCCTCTAAAGAATCAAAGGATTGCAAGACAGAACGAGACCGCCCAGGAGCCCCTTCTCGGGCACGCACAGCCCCGCCCCAGAGGCCTGTGTGTCCCCCCTACTCCGTTTGGCCTTTTGCCCTTTCCGGAGAGGCGACACTCTGGCCTTGGTGGGTCTGAGCATTAGAGCCGCCCTGGCAACGAGAAGATGAACATCAACGGCAGACAGCGCCCAGAGCATGCTCACCTGCACGCGTGTGCCTGCGTAACTACATGTGCGTATGTGAGTGTGTGCGCTTAGTTCTACGTGTGTTTTCACTATGGTCAAATACATCTAAAATTTGCCCTTTCCGCCATTTCAGTGCACAGCTCAGAGGCGTGCGGCCATCCCCACCACCCACCTCCGGAACGTCCTCGTTTTCCCAAACTGGAAGTCTACCCATCAAACGCTCAGTGCGACTTCATCACAACACACGACACCGCCAGGCCCCTCGTGCTGCCCTTTTAGAGCCGCAGCCACCTCCCCACCCCAGGCCGGCCCCCCTCCCACCGTCTGAATGGAATCCGCAGGCAGCCACGTGGCGCAGCCGCCTGCTGCCCTGTCGCTGGGCGGTGCTCTCCACTCCATGGTTTTTGAACGTGTGCCCTGTCCGTAAACATGCTGGCATGTATCCCCACACACGTGCATGTATTCAACTGAACTACAACCTGCCCAGCACGTCTGTTATGCCTCCGGTGCCGGCACTGTCCCGGCCCTGTGACGCAGCCCAGACCAGGAGCCTCGTGGCGGTAGGGGCTGATGCGGAAGGCCAGGCCAGGGGGCCATACGCCTGACAGCGGCTGGCGGGGCGCAGGGCAGGGCCCTTGTGGGTGGGGCTGCTTGATCAGGTGGTCAGAGGCCCCCAGCTGGGGGGCATTCATAGGGTGTCTGAGGACGGGCACTTGCATCACAGGGACTGGCAGCACAAAAGCCTGCTGTCCTGGAGGGTCCTTAGTGTAGCCAAGAAGCAGCTGGAGCAGAGGACAGAGGGAGGGGATGGGCAGCAGGGGAGGGCAGGCCAGGTCAGGGCTGGGGCTTTGCTGGAGGGAGGGGGTGGCTCAAGATGGGGTGGAGGAAGGACTCGTGCATACAGGGATTATGGCGCCTGCGCTGCCGTGCGGGGAGACCAAGGGGCCTGAGCAGGGTACTAGAATAGAGTGCTGACTGGGCTGACGGCACCCTCAAATTCACAAGCACTGGAAACTTACAATGTGACCTTATCTGGAAATAGGGTCTTTGCCAATGAATTAGAGAGTAAAGCGGGAGGGAGAGGAGACCAGGGAGGAGACGGCCACCCCGCCCCGGGAGGCCCCGCCAGGTGCTGAGCCCACCGCCTGCATGGGAACAGAGGGCCAAGGGCACAGAGAAGAAATCTCAGGGAAAGGCTGGCGGCTGGAGCTTCTGGGAGACGAAATCAGTAGGGGAGGGACGACGCTGGGACAGAAACACCACGCAGAGGAAGAGGTAAAGCCAGGCAAAGAAACAAGGCGGGGCTGTGCCAGCCCCCAGCGAACGAGGGCCCCACGGAGACGGCCAAGCGCCTGGCCCCACAGCCCACACCCTGCTGGCCTGACGCAGACCCAGGCCACCCGGTGCGGCCGTGGGGAGGGCACAGGGAGGGGGACATGAGAAAGCGAAGTCCCGTCCAGGGGCCAGAGGTCAACAGGTGGCGCCCCGGGCTGATCAAGGAAGCAAGAGTTGCTGAGACTTTGGAGCAGGTCACTGAGCGGGAACGGCCAGAAGAGGTGGGCCCGGCTGAAGCTGGGCCTGGGGAGCGGGCCACGGCTCTTGCTCGGCACCCACCCACCCGTCAAATAGTCTTCAAACTAAAAGAAACCTAAACGCACCTGACATCAGCCACCACACACTCGCTCATTCCACAAATACGTACTGGTGCCCCCTTGGGGTCAGGTCCTGAGGCTGCACAGTCGAGAATAGGACAGAGCCCCTGCCCTCTGGGGCACCCCTTCTGGGTCAGCTACGGGAGGCATCTTGAGCGTCTCCCCTCTGAAGAGCACACGTGGTGGGCGCCCAGCAAGCAAGATGAAAGGCCGTGGATAATTAATGCTGCTCTTCGCGGTGGCCTGAGAGAGAGCAAATACATGCAAAACCCAGCTCTGGTTTCCAGAACACAAGGACATCTGAAATTACAAGGCATTGAAATAAAGGTTCAGGTAAAGGACTCTTGTTCTAGTTGCAAATTTGATGTCAGATCAAAACGGAATTGCTCCTGAAAGCTCAGGCGCTGGCTTATTATTCGAGGTTTGCCCAACCCCCACGTGTGGAAAAGACACTGGCCTAAGTGCACCCAGCGGCCCAGCTGCCTCCGGACCCTGAGGCCGATCCCCAAAGGGCCCCGGGTCCCTTCTCCACTCATCCCTTAGGCCCTCAGGGACACATCAGATGCATCAGACTTTATTTGGGGGGAACAAAAGTTCCAGGCCATTTTGCCGGATGAGCAGGCTAGGAGCAGCTGCACCGTCCTCACGGGGCACCTGCAGTCAGGGGACGCTGGGGGCGCGGGTGCGGCTCCCATCGACACCTAGAAGCACAAACCTGAGACACTGGCTACCCTGGGGGACGGCGCTGCCATGCCCCACCTGCAGTCCGCAGTTAATAACCTGTTCGCGTGTACTAAGTGGGTCAGAAGCCACACGTCCCTGGGTCGGATACTGGGAGCAGTCGTGAAGCTCGGCTCCCAAAGAGCACGGCGCCGTCTGGGACAACAGGGCGGGTGTCACCCTCACTGCTTCCCTCAGACGGCGGCATCTGAGGATTGCACCTGCAAATGCTTTCCCTCCCCCGGCCCTCGCACAGCAGAGCATCCCCGCCAAACTGCGCTCACGGGGCGTGTTGACAGCCGTGGAATCAAGGGCCCACCTCTGCGACAGCTGCCGCCACCCAAGGGTCAGCAGGGAACACCGGCTCCCACCCCCCGTGTGCACTTGGCAGCATTTGGCGACATCAGGCAGAGTGTGGTCCCTGCTAATCAGGGGCCAATTAACACAGACGAGCCCATCGTAGCACATCAGTCGCATGCAGGTGGGCGCGGGAAGCACCGGGAACAGATGGGCGGGTGCGTGAGCGTCCACCGCCCCAAGGTCCCAGGCCCAGGGCAGGGGGGCGCATTGGTGGGGAGCCCTGAGCTGGTGGGGAGGCTGCTGCACCAAGGCCTCTGATTCTTTGGGGCTCCTTCCTCATCTCCGGTCACAGTCAGCCTGCCTGGGCACTGCCCATGCCACCTCCCGGCCTACCACCTCCGCTACCACCGGAGAGGCTGGCGGCCCCGCTCCAGCTCCGCGGCCACGTGGTCATCGTGCAGCTCCTTCAGATGCAGCAGCAGCCCCTCCAGGTTCTCCCCAGTGGCCGCTGACAGGGCGATGGCCTCTCGGCCTAGGCGGGCCTGCAGCTGGGGCAGCTGGGCTCTGGCCTGAGGGAGGTCGACCTTGTTCGCCACGACGGCATGGGGTCTCTCGGACAGGCCTTCCCTGTACTGTTCTAGCTCGTACTTCAGGTCATCCAGCTGCGTCCACGGCTCTGGCACCGAGAGGTCCAGCACGAACAGGAGGAAGGGGCAGCGCTCGATGTGCCTCAGGAAGGCCAAGCCCAGGCCCCGGTTCCGGTGGGCTCCGCGGACAATGCCCGGGATGTCGGCCACTGCGGAGAAGAGCAGACGGTCCAGGAGGGGAACCTGAGACCTCTGAGTTCTGATCCTCTCCTTCCAAGGAACACCTTGCAAGTGAAGTCGTTCAATTTACTGCCTCAGTGATGCATCAGGCCAATTACCATCTGAGGCATCTCAGCTTTCAGCTCTGCTAATGCTTTGAAGTATCTGGTTGACAGGCGTGATGACAGATCAGTCTAATAAGAACTACTTAACACATTGCAGTCTTTCTGGCTTCAAAAATGATTCAAAAAAGGGGAAGACGGCTTCCTGTACTCTATTAATAATTGGATTACCGATAGAAACGATAGCGTCTTCTGCAAGTATAAAGCGCTACACAAATCGCGTCGCCAGCAGGCTGACTATTTTAAATGGGTACATTATCTTCTGGAAAGTTTTCTTCTCTCAAAATGGTACAGGGAAAGCTTTTTAAATCACACGTTGTCCACATGACTGATGGTGCCGAGTTCCCCGTAGATGAAAGAGAAGAATAGAGGCGGTGAAAAGGAATAATTTCCCCAGGTTTGAAATTTAAACTCCAATTCCTGCACTGCCACTAACAGATGCCTGGGGGAGAGGGTGGGAAGCAAACCTAAAACCTGATTCTGATAAAGAACCACAGTTTTCAAATGAAGAAAACAACGCTACACGCAAGAGTTACATAAGCATTGCTCTGAACCCCATCGTCGCCCTGACTCTCTGAGAGGCCCTGGTGTCCTACCTGCTATTTGCTGGTGGTCCTCGCAGTGAACAACCCCCACGTGCGGGTTCAGGGTGGTGAATGGGTAGGAGGCCACAGTGGGCCTTGCGTTGGAAATGGCTCGGAGAAGCGAGGATTTCCCCGCGTTGGGGAATCCGACCTGGAAGAGAGTGGGGACGGCCAAGGTCGGGGGTCTTGGGTCGGGAACCGGGGACGAGGACAGCAGGGCTCCTGACGAAGCCAACAGGCTCTGATGGGAGAAAGTGGGCTGCCCGGCCGCCACCCTCCTGGCATGTCCCCCACCATCCTCCCGCCGGGGCTTCAGGTGACACCCACCAGCCCAGCGTGTGCCACCGTTTTGAGCTCCAGGAAGAGGACCCGCTCCTGACCCGGCTGTCCGGGGGTACAAGTCGTGGGCGCTCGGTTGCTGTTGGCCAGGAAAAAGCGGTTGCCCTTCCCGCCTGCCCCGCCCAGTGCTGCGATGAACTCATCACCCGGGTGCGAGAGGTCAGCCAGGACTTCGTTTCCCTCCTTCACCAAAGTGCCCACGGGGACCTGAAAAATAACAAGTGCTTATAGGGGCAGCATGAGAAGGGAGGCACAACTAAGCTCCACAAAGGGACAAAGGACCTGGGAAAGGGCCCAGCCCTAAAGGGCTTGAGAGGCTGACTGCACTGCAGGCAAACTGCATAAATGGCTTTTCCCAACAGTGCGTCTAAAGCATCAGGGTGAACGAAAGCATCTGGAAAACGAGAGTGATGCTGAAAGCACAAACTCTCCACTCGTAGGGAGGTGCCCGAGAGGGTAGGTGGGGGCAGATCACGGGGCTGGAGACAGCGGGGGAGACCTGCGGGCCCCACGGGGCTGGAGACAGCGGGGGAGACCTACGGGCCCCTCGCCGTAAATATAATCGTCTCATGACTTTCTGAACAGGTGACACAGTCACACAGTATGAAATCAGCACAGAGTCCCTGTCCAGGGTTGCTCTGTGGAGGACGGGGCCCCTCTGGACCACTCGGCAGGACCTGGGAGCTTGATGGTCCAGATGGCCTACCTGGATGTAGAGGACGGCGCCGCTTCGCCCAAAGCAGTTCTTCCTGCCGCCGGCTCCTCCGTCAAAGCCCTGGTACTGAGACAGGACTGAGGACAGGGACTTGACTTGCCGGTCAACTGGAAGTCAGAGCGAGAAGCGTCATCTCCCTCTGTGTCAAAGGCAGACCCATCTCATGTTGTTAAGTTTCTTTTGTTCAGATTCAGAACGTTAAGAATGCACCTGGGACGGGACCTCCCTGGTGGCACAGTGGTTAAGAATCCACCTGCCAATGCAGGGAACACAGGTTCGAGCCCTGGTCCGGGAAGATCCCACATGTCATGGAGCAACTAAGCCCATGTGCCACAACTACTGAGCCTGCGCTCTAGAGCCCCTAAGCCACAACTACTGAACCCACGCATCACAACTACTGAAGCCCAGGTGCCTAGAGCCCATGCTCCGCAACAAGAGAAGCCACTGCAATGAGAAGCCTGCGCACCACAACAAAGAGTAGCCCCTGCTCTCCGCAACTAGAGAAAACCCACGTGCAACCACAAAGACCCAACACAGCCAAAAATAAATAAATATATAATAAAATAAAAATGAAAAAAAAATCTAAAGAATGCACCTGGGACCACGGAATAAAGTTGTAGCAAAAGTCGCTAAACTAGCAATGTGATTTTTTTTTTTTTGCAGTACGCGGGCCTCTCACTGTTGTGGCCTCTCCCGTTGCGGAGCACAGGCTCCAGACGCGCAGGCTCAGCGGCCATGGCTCACGGGCCCAGCCGCTCCGCGGCATGTGGGATCCTCCCGGACCGGGGCACGAACCCGTGTCCCCTGCATCGCAGGCGGACTCTCAACCACTGCGCCACCAGGGAAGCCCGCAATGTGATTTTTTTAAAAATTTAATTTCCTATTTTCTTTCAAAAAATACTACAATTTTCAAACAATTCAAAAATTACCCATAATGTCATCATCATCTTGAAAACAGCTGTATTACTATGCTGTGAATGGTTACTGAGGGGACTAGTTTGCTAATATTTGTGCTCCATGTGTGTCAGGGCAATCAGTACCCTTTTAGCACTTGACTGAGATAGTAACAGATTAACCCTTTGACAGACTGTACCAGAATGTTAGATTCCCTGACAGTAAACTGTCTTTGTGTTCCTGAAATAAAAAAAACCAAAACCATCAAAGTTGGTTTTGGGTGGATTATCTAAATGTGAACATCCACGTAATTTAATAAAATGATGTCCACAGGTCAATTTTTGAATCCAACTTCCTGTTAGGATAAGAAGGTGAAAACTCCCCACCCCGGAGGCGCGCAGACACAGCGCGTTTCCCCGGGCTGCCCCTCGGGACACCTGCCTCTCAGGATGACGTGGCCGCCGTAGCCTCCGTCGCCACCATCGGGGCCTCCAAACTCCTTCCGGGGCTCACTGTGGAAGCAGCTTACCCCGTCACCTCCGCGTCCCCCTCGGACAAGCACTCGGCGATGGTCCACAAAATGCCTTTTCTGCAGAGAACACACAGAGGCCTGTCGTTATTAACTCTGCAGTCCTCCCAAGGACCAAGCAGTCATTTGTAATGTACCTTTTCTACCCATGACAGGCTTTAAAATTAGAAGCTAATGATATTAATATTGCTAATCACGCCTAAGATGCAAATATAAGAAAGAGTTCCCACAAGTCACTGCTATTTGTAGGCAAATGTAAATCAACAACGCAGATGTTAAAAGTGCTCAGCGTGGAATACACATCCCAGTCACGAACTCCACGCTAAAAACCTAAATAAAACGCAGTTTAGGAGATACTCCTTAAATAAAGCGTCTTCCCAGCTTTTTCAAATAGAAACACGTTATTGAAATAACAGGTCTTTAAAAAAAAAAAAAAAAGAAAGAACAGGTCTTTACTAATGGAGAGTTCTGCTCCTCAGGACGAGAGAATGAGAGTGACAGTCCCTGGGCCATTATCAGGCTTCCAACTAAGAACAGAAGTCTTCTGTGGCTGACTGAACAGGGCTCCTTTTTTTTTTTTTGAGCACAGGCTCCGGACGCGCAGGCTCAGTGGCCATGGCTCACGGGCCCAGCCGCTCCGCGGCATGTGGGATCTTCCCGGACCGGGGCACGAACCTGTGTCTCCTGCATCAGCAGGCGGACTCTCAACCACTGCGCCACCAGGGAAGCCCCAGGGCTCCTTTTTTAAATGTGGTGATGCAGACAGAGCCCTTATCTGAGAGCAAGTTTTTCTCTAGGTCCCTAAGGGAGACACAACCTACCTAAAGAATCAGAACTAACTAACCAGGTTAACATATATATATATATGTATATCTATATATTTTTTAACATTTATTTATTCGGCTGCGCCGGGTCTTAGCTGTGGCACATGGGATCTTCGTTGTGGCGTACGGGATCTTCGTTGCGGCGTACGGGATCTTCGTTGCGGCGTACGGGATCTTCGTTGCGGCGTGCGGGATCTAGTTCCCTGACCAGGGATCAAACCTGAGCCCCTGCATTGGGAGCGCAGAGCTTTAACCACCAGGGAAGTCCCCTAACCAGGTTAATATTTAATAAACGCTTGCTCACAGGACAAGATGTCCAGCTGCCCAAGGTGCCAGGGTGCAGTGTTGAGGACGCCACTCCCAGCCCAGCCGTCCTGTCCCGAGGAGCCCACCTGCTCCCCGCACATGTGCACAGGCTGACGTGGCCGCCCACATGGCCCCTCCATGGGGACCAGGGCATCTGCATTTCCATCCACTACTCCATAAGCAGATCTTTTTTTAAAGGAAAATACAGAAATACTTTATGATGCTCTGGCACCACCACATGGAAAAACCATGAATTACTGTTTCAAAAACGCAATGTACAATTTTGAACATAATGGAAATCAACCCCGATGGGAAAAAAGCACAACTAAGGAGCATCGTACAGAAGATAAAACTTAAGAGTCAATGTTTACATTCTGGAGAGGAGACAAAACCACGTGAAAACTTGATATATCTGAGTGCACATGCTGACTGCCAAAGTAATTTTCCACATGAAGTACTGTTTGCCCTATGAGCCTTAATTGGAAGCCGCACTTGGGAGGAAACAAAGTGGATTATAAACATGTGTATTCTTGAATTTAATTAAAGATCATTCATGTTTTAAACAGGTTTTGATAAACAGAATAAAAAACATGTAAGCCTTGGAGAACTATAAAACTAAAGGTGTATGCCCTGGTCCCCACACCCCCATGCCATAAATTCAGAACTATTCACATGTACCTAAGAATATATATAGTACATATCTCAGACGCACAGGCTAACGATACATAAGCCCCAGGCACCCTCCTGGCGAAGGGAGCGAACACGGTCATCACTTCTGGCACGCTGGGCACTGCCCTGGGTCCGCCGCAGTTTTAGGCCAGCCCAGTATTTGGTACCCGCAGGCCTTCATCTCACGGCCTCATTTCCAAGGATAAACAAAGACAAGACAACAAGAGCTCAAAACAACGCCCTGTGCCTTCAGAGGGGAAACGGCAGTCAAATTCCTTCAAGGTTAGAGCCTCACCAGTTTTTTCTCTGAGAGCAGCTTCTTCCTGGGGGGCTCCTGGTGCTTGGTGCAGTCCGCACAGCTGACCGAGAGCAGCCTGGGAGAAGCGTGCTGGGGAAGGAGCCGCCTGGGCCTGGGAAACACTCGTGCCAACGGTGTCCAGCACCCCACGCCCTCCAACACCGGCCAGGATCTCGCTGCGAAAAGCCTCGAACGTATCATGGCTCCTTAACAAAAGGCAAACTGGCAAAATAAGACATCTGGTTTAAACCTGAACATGAAACCCAAACTAAAGAAGTGTGAGCACCTGGCACAGGAGAACGCTGGCGAGTGTTCCTGAAACAAATAAATGAACCAACGAATGACTTTCTTACCTCACTCACCACCTTCCACCCCGAGTCATGCCCTATTAGCCTATATGCTACTTGGAGGGAGTTCCCTGGCGGCCTAGCAGTTGGGACTCTGGGCTTTCACTGCCGGAGGTCCGGGTTCGATCCCTGGTCAGGGAACTGAGATCCCGCAAGCTGCACAGCGCAGCGAAAGCAAGTCTCCTTAGCCTATATGCTACTTGGGGGAAAGATCTGTGTACAAAGGATTACATCATTAAATCTCTTGCAACTCTGGAATATACTCCCTATAGAATAGCAAATACCTGCTAAATGAAAATATTAAAAAGGAAATCTCAGCCTCAAATCCAAATTTCTTAAAAATAAAAACACCCATTTACTCAGATGCTATGGTGTTATCCTGCACAGTTTGAAATGGTCCAACTGGAACACAGTGGGGTATTTCCTATGGGTGCAGTGGGTAAGCCGCCAGACTCTGCACAAGGACCTCTGCCCCTTTCCCCCAGGGCGACCTAGGACAGTTCACTCATCTGACGACGGACCAGGCTGGGAGGGACAGAAGGCACGACAGCAGTACCTGGCCCATGTGAAAACTCAGTAAGCGTGAGCCACTTTTCATTAACTAAGAGCTGTTTACACCACTGCTTGTTCATTAAACAGCTCGTGATAATTATATATCTTGTGGGTGCTGAGGGCCAACGCGAGGAATCTCAGGCCCAGCCCTCCAGGAGACGACAACCCCTCCCCGTCCACTGTTCTGAACGTCACCCACTTCCAATGTCCCCGCTTCACAGGCACACGTGTGCCACATAAAAGGAAACCACTGAGGCTTTCCTCCCATGGTTAAGTATGAACTACACATACAGAAGGGATATAAATGTACACGCATTACTTTAAAAATAATCATAAAGCCACCACGTGCGCAACACAGCAGGCGAGGACACAGGGCTCGCCTTTTCCATTGAAGCCCCTCCTGTACCTCCTGCTCCACACCTCCTGACCCTTCTGAAAAGGAAATACTTCCTTGGTGGGAGCTATTCCCTCTGCATGGCACTGAAAAGCTTTGCTTTTTGTTCGGAAACAATCAGGTATAGAAAAGTTCAAAGGAGAGTCCATGAACCATTTGAGGGTGAGCGGCCGACCTGACACCCAACCTCCAACCCCCCGGACACGGCAGTGTGGCTCCCTGTGGACAGAGGCACCCCTACGGAACCGGGGGGATGGCCTTTGAAACCGGGCCACCAGCCACGCCCAGACCCCCAGCTTTGGCTAACGGTCCCTATAGCGGCTCCCACAGCAAAGGGTCCGGCTCAGAACCACGAGCTGCGTTTTGCTGCCACGTCTCTGCAGCCCCTCCCTGACTCTCGTGCCCCTGACACCTGGAAGGTCCCAGGCCAGCTGTTCTGCAGCGCGTCCTCGTTCTCCCTCTGCCGGACGTCCCTTTGTGACGAGCCGCGGGCAATGCACCTTTGGCAGGAATTTCACACGAGTCAGGGGCCTTGCTCACCCTGCACACGGAGCTCCCGCGCAGCTTCCCTGCGTCGGGGCGCCCCTCCCTCCCTGTGTAGTTACGAGGACCTCGGGGGAGGTGGTCTGAGACTGTGCAAATCCCGTTCCTCATAAACTGTCCATTTACTCATTTTTACGGGCTCAGTTTCCTATTTTATTCAGTTAGCTACGCTGTTACTATCATTTACTCCAATGCTCAAATTGCCTCTGGTTTGGGCAGTGGCAGCCCATCCCTTGGCTTTGGTGTCCTTCTGGCACGTGCCCCTCAACCTGTGAGCGCTCCCTGCTTCCTGCCACGAAATGTTCCACGCTCACCGGGCACTCTCCCTGGTTGACCCTGAAACCAGCCTTTACTCCAAGGAGCCCTGGTTCTTTTAGTGGAGAATGGTATTTACAAGGCCACCTGTATGCTGGGGGTGCTCAGGGGTCCTGGGGTGGTGCTGCTCGTGGGTCCTCTCCGTGGACAGAGCAGACGAAGGTAAACGCATCCACACACAACACTCACATCTGTAGTCACTGCTACACCGATCCACCCACAGTTTTAGAGCAGCATCTTTTGAAAACCATGGGTTCACACCTATAATCCCAATTCCAATTCAACACCACAAGGTTCTAATTTTCTCCTTCTGTCTTTGCAAGTCCATCCTCTGACTGTCAGAGTCCCGGCTCCATTACCTGCAGTATGTTTACTCACCCAACCTCGACAGTAACCAAACCTTCACCTCCTGACGTAGGTGCTCTCCCCTTCCACTGGGCCGCCCCTCCATGGGGACACCCTCCTCCTGTTATCTTCCTGTTAATGTATTGTCCTAAATACACCTTTATTTCAGAATGATTTTAGATTTACAGAAAAGGTGATATTCCCATATACATCTTATCCAGTTTCCCCTAATATTAGCATCTTACATGACCAGGGTACACTTGTCAAAACTAAGAAACCAACCCTGCTATGTTATTATTAATTAAACTCAGGATGGCATTTGGATTTCACGTTTCCCCATGAATATCCTTTTTCTGTTCCAAGATCCCACACTGCATTAAGCCCTCTTAAAAGATATTTTTAAAGTGCTAAAAGAAAAAAAGTCCCACCCAGCATTATTACACAGCCTGTGAAAATATCCTTCAGGGAGGGAAATGAAGTAAGACATGCTGGGTGGTGGGAGACACTGTCTCCACAAGCAGTACCCCAGAAAGAAAATGACACCACAGGGAAACCCCAACCTTTAGGAATGAGGAGACAGCAACAGAGATGGTAAGTATAAAAAACTATTTTTGGGGGACTTTCCTGGTGGCACAGTGGTTAAGAATCCACCTGCCAGTGCAGGGGACACGGGTTCAATCCCTGGTCTAGGACAATCCCACATGCCGCAGAGCAACTAAGCCCGTGTGCCACAACTACTAAGCCCACGCACCACAACTACTGAAGCCTGCGCGCCTAGAGCCCGTGCTCCACAACCAGAGAAGCCACGGCAATGAGAAGCCCACGCACCACAACAAAGAGTAGCCCCCGCTCGCCGCAACTAGAGAAAAGCCCGCATGCAGCAACGAAGACCCAACGCAGCCAATAAATAAGTAAATGAATAAAAGTACCTATCCTTTAAAAAAAAAAAGAAAAAGACTATTTTTTCCTTGTAAGAGTTTTAAAATATGTATGACTGTAGAAAGAAAATTATAACACTGTCCAGTGGGTTTCCCATGCATGCAGAGGTGACTGCAAGGTTTCCACATTTCTGTGAAGTGGCACAAGTCTGAAGTCTAAGTGGATCATGAAAGGTTAGGTAAGTGGATCACTGTAATCTCCAGAGCAACCACTAACATGTATCTCAGAGATATGTCCAAAGCCAATAAGTAGACGAAATGGAATGCTAAAAGCCTTTCCGATAACTCAAAAGAAAGGGGACAGCAGGACAAAGAAGAGGCACAAAGGGAAAACAAATAATAAAATGGTACCCTAAACCTAACCATACACGTAACTCAGACAAAACAGACTTCCAGAAAAAGAGCATTTCCTAAGATGAACAAAGGCATCTGATAATGACAAATGGAATTAGTCATCAGGAAGGCCTAACAATTAAAAATGTGCGTGATAGGGCTTCCCTGGTGGCGCAGTGGTTGGGGGTCCACCTGCCGATGCAGGGGACGCGGGTTCGTGCCCCAGTCCGGGAAGATCCCACATGCCGCGGAGCGGCTGGGCCCGTGAGCCGTGGCCGCTGGGCCTGCGCGTCCGGAGCCTGTGCTCCGCAACGGGAGGGGCCACAGCAGTGAGAGGCCCGTGTACTGCAAAAAATAAAATAAAATAAAATAAAATAAAATAAAAAAGAAGAGGTAAAACTGCAGAAAATATGACTGTCTCCACAGCCAATTCCAGTGAAATCTATAAAACAAAGATTAGAATTAATATACAAAGAAGCAAGGTTTTTGTTTTGTTTTGTTTTTTATAAATTTATTTATTTAATTAATTTATTTTTGGCTGCGTCGGGTCTTCGTTGCTGCGCACAGGCTTTCTCTAGCTGCGGCGAGCGGGGGCCGCTCCTCGTTGCGGTGCGCCGGAAGAAGCAAGGTTATTGGTTACAAGGTTAATTTGCAAAAGTCAACTGTGTTCTTCTATACTAGCAGCGAACTATAAAATGAAATGAAGACAACAATCCCACTTACAGTGACACCAATGACAAAAGCATCTAGCTTAACAATAAGCTTAACAATAAGCATTTAAGGCCTCTACCTCACTACTGGCAAGACGCTGTTCTGAGTGTTTTCCAGGGATCAATGCATTTAACTCTCGTAACAGCCCTGTAAGGGAAGTACAGGTGAGGACACAGAGGCCAAGAGAGGTGAAGTGACTTACCCAAGGTCACACATCTCTCAGATGGGAGGAGTGGAGTGCGAAAGCAGGGTGTCAAGGGGCAAAACCAACCACCTGATCATCAAAGAAGCACACCCACAGCTAAGTCTGTTGGAGAGCTACGCCATCCGTCCCGGCCGGGTTGAAAACCAAGCTTCTGGGCGCTGGTAACACGAAACCTGAAAGCGATCAATCAGAGGTGACCATCAGAAAGCCAACCAGAGACCTGAACTCTGAATCTTGCCTAATGTGGAGTACTCCTCCTTTTTACCTCTTCAGTGTGTTTGGAAAAATCTGCTGAACGCGTGCCGTGGCTCTCCCTTGCTACGTGAACAAGTTCACTTTGGTTTCACATGACTATTTGGTCTTTGTTTTCCTTCTAATGCTTTACCTGCTCTGGCCAATAGCCCCATGCGGCTATTAAGTTTAAATTAACTAAAAAAATTTTAAACGTAAAAATTCAGTCCCTCAGTCACACAAGCCACATTTCAAGTGCTCACAGCCACATGGGGCCAGTGGGTACCACAATGGCCAGCACCCATTAGCACCTTTCCACCATTACAGAAAGTTCTACTGGACAGCGCTGGTCTTTATTGTGCAGTGGGAACTCAGATTCCTCCTAGGAGCATCCCTCTTCCTGGGCCCAGCAGAGCAGAGTACAAAAGGTGGGACGGTGGTGAAAGCTGAGGGCCCAGAGTCAATCAGACTTCATGATTACAGGATGGGGGCTTTAAAAAATGCTGGGAAGGCGCTCAATACACAGCAAGGGCTCCACTTTGTTCTGTAAAGTGTTAAGATCAGTTCTGCTGGTCCATACACATTATTATCTGCCAGGAGCCTCTAAGATCCTCCTACGGAAATTTTAATTTTTTGTTTTTGTTTTTGTTTTGTTTTGCAGTACGCGGGCCTCTCACTGTTGTGGCCTCTCCCGTCACGGAGCACAGGCTCAGCGGCCATGGCTCACGGGCCCAGCCGCTCTGCGGCACGCGGGATCCTCCCGGACCGGGGCACGAACCCGCGTCCCCTGCATCGGCAGGCGGACTCTCAACCACTGCGCCACCAGGGAAGCCCGGAAATTTTAAATTTTTTTCCATGGGAATTCCCCGGCGGTCCAGTGGTCAGGACTCTGCGCTCTCACTGCCGAGGGCCCAGGTTCAATCCCTGGTCAGGGAACCCCCCAAGCTGCTCGGCCAAAAACAAACAAACAAAAATCCCTTACAACCACCCTGTGAGGGGTAACAGTGCATGCTGTTTTTTTCCATCTGCTTTTCTAGACCCCTTTTCCACCCTGCTCCGTTTCAGAAGCCTACCCTGCATGACTACTCTCAGCTACCTTGCCGTGGGGCGGAGACTGCAGGGAGGCGCAGGAGGGCTGGATCCTGACTGAAGGTCGACCTCCAGCCGAGGAAGCCCCGTCTATGCTGCTCTCTGCTGGTCCTGGTAACTGGCCCTCCCCTTATCCTGCGGTGTCCAGGAGCAGAAGCAACTCCACTGTTACTACCGCGTGATAAAAACACTAACTCTGCTGTTTCCCTGCACACTCTGCTTTAAACTGGGCCTTTACAAACCCTCCTTAAAGTATCCTAAAGTGATGGTGCCGTAACTTCTGACCCTTACATTTTTTATGCCGTTTCGTTTTGTTTACCACGCTGCCTGGCATGCGGGGTCTCAGTTCCCCGACCGGGGATCGAACGGTGCCCCCTGCAGTGGAAGCGCGGAGTCTTAACGGCTGGACCGCCAGGGAAGAAGCCCCTTTACGCCCACTCTAAAGCAGTGGAGGCTGAGACTCAGAGTCTCTCGCGTGCCCAACACAGTGTCCTGGCTGCCCGTATTTCACAGCAGGGTTCTTCAAATCAGGGATGTGTACGCGACCACCATCCAAGGGAACCGAGGCAAGGGTCATTTTAAAACGATCAGTTTTGTGCTCCTTAACTGTGGACACGTTTTCTCTGCTAAAGCGTATCTGCCTGGGAACCGACTTGCGTTGAAAAGCGTGATCTCCTTTCCGCTCGTGTCGTGAGAAGGGCCCTCTACAGAAGGAAGCCCCCTCCAGGGAGCTGGCCCCAAGGACACGCCTCCCTCCTCCCGACAGGCCCGCGAGCAGGACAGACCCCGGTGTCCACAGCGGCGCGGACGGCGTACCCGGTGCCGGCCCAGCCCGCCCAGAGCGCCCTCGCAGGAGGACGCCGCTCCTGTGCGAACGCTCACGCTGTTCGGTGCAACCGCGCGCCACAGCAGGTACAGAGCAACATCCGGGAGGAACCGTTTCACACTCAGGACCTCGACCCAAAGGAGTCTCCGGGCCACCCGAGCACGCCCACGCGCGCTGAGGGGAAGCCGGAAGCCCGGGCCGTGGACGCGAGGTCTCCCCCGGCCGCTATTTGCACTCACCACTCCAGACGGCACGCCACTTCCGCGGCCGGCTCCACGGGTCACTTCCGGGGCGGGTCCCGCCTGCGCAGGGCTCCCCTGCGCGCATGTGCGGCGCGGGAGGGGGTTGGGAGGGGAAAAAACGGAGCTGCTCGCGTCTGCGCAGAGGTGAGCGTGGTCTCCGGCGTGTGGAGCGGGCGCACCTCGGGACCCGGGGACCCGGGGACCCGGGGACCCGGGGATGCAGGGATCCCGGGCCCGGCAGCCGTCTCCCCGCCGGGGCTTCCGGTTCCCCATCACCTCACGGAAACTCAGTCTCCAGGACGGTTCTCGAAGAGCCAGTTTATTAATTACAACAAAGGCATAAACAACTTAGACGCCAAAGTCCGGCTGAGGAGAGAAACGGACGGGTGAGGATGGTTGTCCGGGACCGGGCTGTGCTCACGGACGAGACGGCGTGACCTGGTCAGTCAGGGCTGGGAAGTCACACGGAAACGCCCTCCTCTCGGTCCGAGTGTGAGCGGCCGCCCCGCACGGACCGCCGAGGCCCGGCTGCGGCTGCGGGCGCGCGAGGGATGCTCGGGCCGGAGGCGGCGGGGCCAGCCGGCGGCCTGGGCGCTGTCGGCACCTCCGCGGGCCGCGCCGGTCACCGCTCGAGGCCCGCCCCGCCCGGGGCTCGGCCGTGGCAACTCGGCGGCACTGACCGCACCGCACCGCGCGAGCGACTCTCGGGCCTAAGCGTCTGCAGACATTCGTGTTGCGGAAGAGGAGACACGAAACAGTGAACGAAAACGAGCTGCTGGCATCACTTTCCCCACAATATTACATAAAAACGGACAGCACGTTAAATAAACATTTTGTTATTAATCATTAAATATATGAACACCGACAATCATGTATAAATTAGGAAATAGATGTACAAACTATTTCACAAAGTGCTTTTAAAAATATATACACAACATTCAAGAAATTCTTAATGTAAGACATTTCAGATTGAAGTTTCGGGATAAGTTTTTTTAAGTGTCCTTTTCCTTCAAAAAGTATTAATACAGCACTTAAAAAAAACAAACACACATACACACACATAAAAGGCATATTCCCAGATTGGCAAGGAATAAAAATAAACTATTTTCACAGTTCTCTGAAATGCTTAACATTTTCAACGGGAAAATTTAATCCCCGACGGAGTTTGCAAATTCTATGAAAATTGTCAGGAAAGAACAGGACAAAATCAAGGGAAATGACTCCCTAAATGAAATTACTAATGTCTGTGTCATTTAGCGGTTAAGGACTCTCATTTCAATAATTTAATACAGAGATGTATTTTTAAGCCCTTACCAGTGTTAAGGGTTTCTAAAAACCCGTATGTCTACAAAATAAACACTTCTATCCCAATGCATGTGTGATTCTGTCTCCACAGAGGAGGGGAGAAGGTCCTAGAACAGGACTTCTACTCGTCCCGCCCCTTCTTTCCTCTGAGCCGTAGTGCTTCATCTGCAAAACAGCAACAAGTAATCGCCACTATATTCCCAGTGTGGACTGGAAATTATTCATTCCAGTAAAAACACGTCGAAGATGTCTTATACACTGTAAAGTATTCAATTCTGGATAAGGAACTACTTTCAACTTAAGACTTAATAAAACATCACCTTCAGTAGACCTGATATATGAAGAACTGGATATATTTTTATTTTCTTGGTTGTCTTGGAAATATGTCAGCATTTATCCAAAGATGTTTTTAAAGCGGTCATAATAAATATGGATATTGTTATCCAGGTAAGAGTTGATAAAATGTCCTTATGACTTATTAGTGAAATGTAGAATTTTTCCTTTGACCTGACTTTTCCACATGAGCTGTCTTTAATGTCTGCACAGAATTTAAATGGCATTTAATGTCCTAGGAATGTAAAAATGACTCAAATTTCTCTCCATAAGAGCTTTCCTTCTCATTAGGAAGAACACAGTAGAATCAGTGGTGTTCTTTTTAAAAATAAGATGTGGGGCTTCCCTGGTGGCGCAGTGATTGAGAGTCTGCCTGCCGATGCAGGGGACACGGGTTCGTGCCCCGGTCCAGGAAGATCCCACATGCTTGCGTACCGCAAAAAAATAAATAAATAAAAATAAAAAAATAAAAAAAATAAAAATAAGATGTGAATTTCAGATATCCCTAAAGAAAAGGAACGCTTGCTTGGAGATCTGAATAAGTAGGTCCTGGAAGAAGTGGTATAAAATAAACAACTTGCCAACAGTTTGGAAAATTTGGTGTCAATATTTTAAATTATAACTTTGGAATTGGGCATATTAAATATTAAAATTCCAGAAATGACCATCAGATAAACAAGGGCCAAAGCCAAAGTAATTCCAGAGACTACCTTCTCTTTCTTTCAGCAATACCACTCTCCCTGGGTAAGGCTAATCATTCATTGCCTTCATGGATTCCTATTTATTTAGAACATAGTCATTGATCCCTCTTTACTTTTTAATACAAAAACATATAACTTTTTGGATAAACACAATTGGTGAGAGACACAGGTAACGAGTGAGCTCTGAAAATAACGGTTCACGGCATCTCCAAATGAGGCTTAGTCATCCTTTCCATCGTGTAACAGAAACTGACGCAAATCACAGAAGATGCCTCCCACCCCCCCCCCCCCCCCATCGAGGCACAGGAAGAGGCTGCCATCCAGGGGCTGTGCACACGTGTCCAGCTGCGGTGCGGACAGTGAAAGACAAGTTTACAACCCACGGTGCGACAGTGCAGGAGGAGTGTCAGCCCTAAGGTCTGTTTATACAAGTACGTGGACTATGGCCTCCTGTAGGTGTCCCATCACTGGGCACAGAACACTCTGATGACAAAAGGACCCCTAAAGCTAGCTAGAAACACGGCGGGGGGGGGGGAGGCGGACAAAAAGGGACAACCTCTCCGTGTATGGACGTACAATACTATACACAGCACCAAATATGTCACACCATCAAAGCGCTGTCTTGCACCGGCGGTGCACGCTCGGCGTCCTACCCCACGTGAAATGTGCACGCTTCACATGCAGACGCTGCGTGGGGTGAAGGGGCAGCCCGCAGGTCACAGCTCATCAGAACTGTCACTGGCCTGTCCATCCCAGACAGACATGCCGCTGCAAGCCTCCATAAGAATGTTTGTCCTTTACTGCTGGTAATTTCCGTACTGGCCCTGCAAGAGACCAAGACACAGATTACACCCCAACAGTCCTGCATAAGAGGGTCCACGCCCAAGGGTAAGACAGACTCCCGCCCCCCCCGCCAACACCCAGGATGAGAGGTGGAGGGAACATAAAAGGCAAGCGACCAAACAGCCTCTGCCTGTTTCCACGAGGCAGGCAGATAAGCGGCCGTCCAGAAGCCACTCTCCAGGCTGCAGCGACTGATTTAGGTCAGAGGGTGGAAGAGGCTGGTTCACCCAGTCACACAGCAGCTCACTGTGCTGGGCCTGGTCCAGGTGCCTCAAGTCACGTCCCCACCCTGAGCCTGCTGTGAACAGGTCTGTGACGGGCTCCCTCAGCCACAAACGACATTGGCACCACTTCCGGCACACTTGGGAACATTCCACACTGCTCTCTTCAAGGTCAAAAAGGTTTCCTCCTTAATTACCCTGCCCTGGGCTTGTTCACTCGTGTTGAAAACTCATCCTCTAAGTATGACTGGTTCATGATCTCTCTTTAGAGAGCAGGGTGAGAAGCATTTAAAAGAATAAAATACAGGACCTTCCTATTCAGGTACCTGAGAAAAACACCCGTCATCCATGTGGTGCCTTGAGATTTCATTAGCCGTGTAAACGGTCATTAGTGCCTATGACCCAGCACAAAAGGCCACCGATGCACAATGAGCCCTTGCAAGGGGCTCTCGTCAAAGGAGGCTCCAAAGGTGCCCAGGATGAGTCTCCTCCCGCCCCACTGCCCTGCCCCTGCCGAGCTGCAGACGCCAAGGCTCCTCCTGACCGACTCGCGTGAGACGCACCTGGCCGCCTCAGGACCTCTGCACGGCTGCGTCCCGAGGCTGGCTCACCCTCATCCTCCTGTCCTGGCCCCGTGGCACCTCCGCTGAGAGGCCCCCGGACACTTACATTCGCCCCTCATGGGTTTCTCTCCCACCAGGAGGGGCTGACATCCATCATCTACCGCCCTTCTCCTCCACGCCTCCAGGTGGAAGTCAGAGGCATCTGAAATTAAGCTTGATTTCCTCTCCACAGCCCTCTGCACCCCGAGAAACGGCAACTGCCTCAAGCAGCCCAGGCTGAAATCCCTGGGGCCGCCCCGACCCGCCTCTCCTACACGCCCCACATCCAGTCCGCCAGCAAATCCCGCTGGCACTACCGCTGAGAGCACCTAGAGTCCCGGAGCCTCTCACCCCTCTCCAGCAGCCACCGTGCTGTCACCAAAGGCTCCGACGGCCTCCAGGGCCCCACCCCACGCAGAGCAGATCCTCGTCAGGGGGGCGAGGCCTCCCTGCCGTCCTGGGAGCCTGAGTGGCTCTGCTCAGGTCTGATGGCCTCGCTGTCGCCCGAGAGAGGGCCTCCCCGACCTGGTCTACGCCAGCCCTGCCCCCCGTCGTTCTGTCCCTTTGCCCTCTGGGTCCTCTTCTCAGAACTACCTGCCGCTGCTCCATCCCGGCGCCAACAGCGCCCGGCTGTGTCAGGCGAGATACAAGCTCTCGAATCTGCCTCAACGCCGGGGCCCCCAGGCGCGCACCAGATGCCCGCCGCTGCTAGGCGCGCGGGAACACCCTAGGCGTGAAAGGACAAGGACACAGAGCCAACTGTGTCTGACCGAAGAGGTAATTTTTAAAAACCTTACAGGCTCAGAGAATAAACGTTCTGGAGGGACATTGGGTGCCAGTTCACCCTGTGTTATTGTTTCTCTTGACGACCAGGGAAACCTTCGTCACGTCTGACGCACGCGGGGGCTGCGAGTCTGGAAACGGGCAGAAGGCTTGCCTGCTCGTAGCCGTAAGGCCGCTGCTGCTGGGCGGACGGGCCCGTCTGAGACGCTCGGTAGCTTCCGTACTGCTGGCCTTGTCCCTGCTGGTAGCTGGAGTACTGCGAGGGGGCGCCCTGGGCAGGCCCTAGAACACACGCGGGAGCCGTGAGACCACCCCATGCCCCCGTCCGCCCGAGTCCCTGACGCTGGTACCCGTTCTCCCTCCACATTAAGCCCGTGCAGTGAAAGCGCCGCAGCTGGTGGCTGCGCGGAGTCCCGCGTGGTTCGCAGCTGTGCTCCCACCGCCACCCGGACGGAGCCTGGGGGCCACTCTCAGCGCCCCGGGCCCGCTTCCTGGGACCAGCTTACACCAGTCACGGTGGTCACCGTAAACACGGGAGTCAAACACACAGCAAATGGTGAAAACGCGCGCGAGACGGTAATTGTGCCTCCGGAGCCTAAGTAGATGGTTTAGGAGAAACTGACAAAGGCCGAGTGTTTTTTCCAAAATTGGCTGTTTCTAGGGCTGGGGCACGGGAAACACTGTGGTCCCAGAAGGAAGAAAGTGCTCTAAACCAAAAGGATGGGGCATGTCCAAGGGCCACAGGCACCAACCTGAGCTCCCAAGAGGCAGGGCTGAGACGGTTTGAACAATAAAATAAAGAAGTTTGGATCATAACTCAATGTGTAAAATCAATACCCGTGAGCACCTACCAATATAAATAAACGATCAATAACTAAGTGAATGGAGGAGAAGAGACCCATCTTCCCTACAGAAGAATTCCAAATAACCTATGTAGACCAGCGGTCCCCAACCTTTTTGGCACCAGGGACTGGTTTCACGGAAGACAATTTTTCCACGGAAGGGGGAGGGGGGGATGGCTCAGGCGGTGATGTGAGCGCTGGGGAGCGGCAGATGAAGCCTCGCTCACCCGCCCACCGCTCACCTCCTGCTGTGCGGCCTCGTTCCTAACCGGCGCGGACTGGTACTGGTCCGCGGCCCGGGAGTTGGGGACCCCTGATGTACACAGTGCCCCCTCGAGTGGGGCTGGACCCAGTGATGTCAGAGTCTGGAGGAGGAGAGGGAAGGAAGCCCGACACTGGGGAGGCCTGGCAGACGCCCTTGACCATGTGACCAAGGCCAGACTCAACGGAGGCAAGTCATGCCCACAGGAGGGGACGCAAAGGCGCTTCGCCGTGGTCTTCTTTCCAGAACCCAGGCCAGACAAACCCAACCTGAGGGGGCGTCTAGGCAGTGCCCGCCCAGCCCTCCTCAAAAGTGCCAAGGTCAAGAGGGATGAGGAAAGTCTGAGGAAATTTCGCAGCCCAAGGAGCTGTGGGGCTGATGTCATGTGGGATCCTGGCCTGGTCCCGGACAGAGAAGGACATGCAGGAGAGCCAGTGAGATCCGAAGAAATTGGCTCAGTCCACGTCCATGCACCAACCTTGGTTTCTTAGCTGTGACCACAGGGCCCCGGTAATGGACGAGGTTAACCATGGGGGGACTCTCAGCTTTCCTCACAGCTTTTCCAGAAATCTACAACTGTTCCAAAATAAGAAGCCTGCTGGGCACCCACCGAATGACCGCGTTCCTGTGATGCCCCCCGCCACCGCTTACCATAGCCTTGCTGCTGCCCAGGGTAGCTCTGCTGGTTGGGGTACTGCTGCTGGGAGTACGTCTGCTGCTGGGCTGTGCCCTGCTGGTACCCCGCCTGCTGCTGGCTGTACTGTGAGTTTCCTGCAGAGGGAAGGAGACATGAGCTCATTTCCAGAGAGCAATGGCAGCTCCGCTGTCCCTCGAGGCATGGGCAGCTGTGGGTTCCCTAGACCGAGTCCACTGCTCCAGTACCTCTTCTTTTCCACAACAATTCAAATTATTTTACTTTACTGGGTTGGCCAAAAAGCTCCTTCAGTTTTTAAGTAAAAATAAAACACAGTTTTCATTTTCACCAAGAACTTTATAGAACAACGTATTCACCATTTTGTTCCACTACCTTCTGCCATTTTCCAGGTAACTTCATAATTCCATCTTCCCAAAACTTTTCATCCTTTTGAGCAAAGAACTGTTCCAGGTGCCTTTTACCGTCTTCCAGGGAGTTGAAATTTTTTCCATTAAGGGAATTCTGTAAAGACCGAAAAAAATGGAAATCCAAAGGTGCAATGTCTGGTGAATACGGTGGATGAATCAGAACTTCCCAGCCAAGCTGTAACAGTTTTTGCCTGGTCATCAAAGAAACATGGGGTCTTGCCTTATCCTGATGGAAGATTATGCGTTTGTTTGTTTTTTGTTTTTTTTTCCGGTACGTGGGCCTCTCACTGTTGCGGCCTCTCCCGTTGCGGAGCACAGGCTCCGGCCGTGCAGGCTCAGCGGCCATGGCTCACGGGCCCAGTCGCTCCGCAGCATGTGGGATCTTCCCGGACCGGGGCACGAACCCGTGTCCTCTGCATCGGCAGGCGGACTCCCAACCACTGCGCCACCAGGGAAGCCCAAATTATGCGTTTTTTGCTGACTAATTCTGGACGCTTTTCGTCGAGTGCTGCTTCCAGTTGGTCTAATTGGGAGCTGTACTTGTTGGAATTAATCATTTGGTTTTCTGGAAGGAGCTCATAATAGAGGACTCCCTTCCAGTCCCACCATATACACAACTTCACCTTCTTTGGATGAAGACCATCCTTTGGTGTGGTTGGTGGTGGTTTACTTCGCTTGCCCCCTTATCTTCTTCTGTTCCACATTACTGTACAGTATCCACTTTTCATCACCCGTCACAATTTGTTTTAAAAACGGAACATTCTGGTTACGTTGAAGTAGAGAATCACAAGAGGAAATACAGTCAAGAAGGTTGTTTTTGCTTAACTCATGTGTGGAACCCAAACATCAAAGCAATTAACATAACCAAGCTGGTGCAAATGATCTTCAGAGCATGACTTGTATATTTTGAGCATGTCAGCCGTCTCCCGCGTGGTACAACGTTGGTTGCTCTCAGTTAATGTCTTGATTTGATCGCTGTTGACTTCAACTGGTCTACCCGACCGTGGGGCAACATCCAGCGGGAAATCTCCACATGAAACTTCGCAGAGCACTTCTGACACGTTGGATCAGTCGCAGCACCTTCTCCACACAATGCACAGATCTGTTTTTGCATTCTGGCTGCGATTTTACCTTTCTTGAAATAATAAAGCATAATGGGCCAAAAATGTTGCTTTTTTTCTTCCATCTTCAATATTAAAATGGCTACACAAAAATTCACCAGTTTTGATTTTTTTTTTTTATTTTGTTTTGTTTTGTTTTGCGGTACGCGGGCCTCTCACTGTTGCGGCCTCTCCCGTTGCGGAGCACAGGCTACGGACGCGCAGGCTCAGCGGCCATGGCTCACAGTCCTAGCCGCTCGGCAGCATGTGGGATCCTCCCGGACCAGGGCACGAATCCGTGTCCCCTGCATCGGCAGGCAGACTCTCAACCACTGCGCCACCAGGGAAGCCCTGATTTTTTTTTTTAAATGCACAGGTATGACAGCTGTCACATACAATCTCACAAAATTACAAAATTGTTTCAAATGAAGTTAAAGACAGCTAAGCGCTACTAGAGCCATCTTACAGCGAAACCGAATGAACTTTTTGGCCAATACAATACTTTCTCTTACCGTCTTATAGAAATACAAATATATCGCCAAAGTGAAGAGGTTAATGCAATTAAGACAAAGACCAATACCAGTGTTGTAGGTAAACTGTGTCCCCCAAAAGAGCTGTTGAGGTCCTGACCCCAGGAACCTGTGGCCTCATTTGGAAATAGGGTCTTTGCAGATGTAATTAGTTAAAGGGACGT